AGATCCGTTTGGGTTTCTTGCAGTAGTGTTTTGTAGTTTTCTTTGTATAGGTCTTTTACATCCCTGGTCAGATTTATTCCTAAGTATTTTATCTTCTTAGGGGCTATTATAAATGGTATTGTTTTCCTGATCAAATCTTTTCTTGAGATGGTCTCTAAATTCAGGTGGCATATACTGAAAGTTGTACTTTGGTTGTAATTGACTTGTTTCAGTTTTCTTCAGCTTCGACTCAAACTTGCCTATGAGCAATTGATGATGGTCTGTTCTATAGTCAGCCCCTGGCCTTGTTCTGACAGATGATATTGACTTTTTCCATCGTATCTTTCCACAGATGTAGTCAATTTGATTCCAGTGTATTCCATCTGGTGAGGCCCATATGTATAGTCACTGATTATGATGTTGAAAAAAGATATTTCCAATGAATAGGTTGTTGGTCTTGCCACATTCTATTATGTGATATCCAGTGTTGTTTCTGTCACCAAGGCCATATTTTTCAACTACTTATCCTTCTTAGTTTCCAACTTTTTCATTCCAATCACCAGTAATTATGAATGCATCTTGATTGCTTGTTTGATCAATTTCAGCTGTAGAAGTTGGTAAAAATCTTCCATTTCTCTATCTTTGGCCTTAGTGGGTGGTATATAAATTTGAATAGAAGTTGTGTTAACTCGTCTTTCTATCACTGACAGCGTTGTACTTAAGAATAGATTTTGAAATGTTCTTTTTGACAGTGAATGCAATGCTATTCTTCTATATTAGACAGTGTTCTGCTGGTATTCATAAGGTTTTCTCTGGCCAGTCTTTTTAGAAGTAGATTGACAGGTCCTTCTTCCTAGTTTGTCTTAGTTTGGAAGCTCCACTGAAACCTGTCCTCCATGAGTGACCCTGCTAGTATTTGAAATACCAGTGGCATAGCTGCCAGCATCACAGCAACACGCCATCCACCACAGTGCGACAAATTGTCAGACGAGTGGTGGCCAGTTCACACAGGAGCAAATAAAGGACTAGAATCTGATTTGGGTCAGGGGCTGTAAGGTGTGTCTGCTAACTTGCGTTACACAAAAGAATAGAGAAAGTGGTTGTAGTCATGCTATGTGCCAGGCAATGTGCTAGGTGCTTAAATACACATTATCTCATTTAATTCTTGCATCAATTTTTTTAAAGGTTTTGGTTACCAGAAGCCTAAACCCATTGCCGTTGAGTCAGTTCCAACTCAGTGACACTATAGGACAGACAGCTGCTCCATTGGGTTTCCAAGGAGTAACTGGGTGCTTTTGAACTGCAGATCTTTTGGTTAGCAGCCGAGCTCTTAACCACTGCTCTTAACCATGAGGGCTCGTAAGATTAGATACTTGTAAATGCTTTTCAAAAAATATTTTATTCCTTCTTAGCTTTTTGCTGTTAGAGTTAATTTGCCATTTGACCAGTTCATTCAAATCTTCTCTATTTCTCAATTCCTTCTGGAGCTTCTAGTGACTCCCCTTTATGGTATTAGTACCTATTGCTACTTTCCTCAAAATCAGACCTTTCATTCATTTTTAGGAGGCAGTATAAAGTAATGATGAAAAGCAGAAGTGAAGTCAGATCAGCCTTGGCTCTGCCACTTATTATGTGACACAGAGCAAGTCTCTTAATCTTGCTGAACTTCAGTATCCTCACCTATAAAAATGGGAGTAACTATATCTCAGAGGTGGCTAAATGAGGCAAACCTTACAGTGCTTGACATTCAGTTAGAGCTCAATATATGTGGATATAATCATTAAGCATTTTATAAAGTGCCTACTATGTGCTAGTCACCAGGTTTCTTTCTCTTTCTTGTGTGCGTGTGCATGCACGCACACAGACACACACACTTATCTGCTTCCTGTTTATTTGACTTTCTTCATTTCCTTGCAAACTGAGAAGAAGTGGTCTGTGGAAATGTAGGCTTGAGACCTAGTGTGTCTTTATACAACAAGTTGAAAATTACCATCTGTCTTAGTTATTTAGTGCTGCTATAACAGAAATACCACAAGTAGGTGGCTTTAACACACAGAAATTTATTCTCTCACAGTTTAGGAGGATAGAAATCTGAATTCAGGGTGCCACCTCCAGGGGAAGGCTTTCTCTGTTTGTTGGCTCTGGGGGAAGGCCCCTGTCATCAGTTGTCCCCTGGTCTAGGAGCTTCTTGGCACAGGGCCCCAGGCCCAAAGGACAGGTTGCTCCTGGCTCTTCTTGGTGGTAATGAGGTCCTTGCGCTGAGGTCCTAGACCAAAGGAAGATTAATGACAAGGACTTTCCCCTAGAACCGACAGAGAAAAGCCTTCCTCTGTAGCTGGTGCCCTGAATTCAGACTTCTAGCCTCCTAAACCATGAGATAATAAATTTCTGTCTGTTAAAGCCATCCACTTATGGTATTTGTTATAGCAGCACTAGATACCTAAGACAGAATTTAGTACCAGAAGTGAGCTGCTGCTCTAACAGATACCTAAAATGTGGAAGCGGTTTTGAAACTGTGAATGGGTAGAGGCTGGAAGAGTTTTAAAGTGCCTAATAGTAAAAGTCTAGATTGCCTTGAAGAGACTGTTGGTGGAGTTATGGACATCAAAGACAGTTCTGGTGAGGACTCGAATGAAGTGAGCAGAGCTATTACATAGTAGATGGTACAGATGGTGAGAAGCAGCAGCAGAGAAGTGGCAGCAACAGAACCAGGAGACTAGCACCAGATAGTGCTGGAGCTGACCCACAGAGGGAGAGAGCTGAGTGCCTTTGCACAGGAGGCTTCCTGGTGGAGTGGGATGTCTTCAGACACTTGTCAGTGAAGCTAGGCTTGCTCACTCACGGAGCAAGAGAGCTGAGTGCCTTCCAGCTGAAGTTTACTGGCGGAGTAGAGTATCTCCGGGTGCCTATCGGTAGAGCCAAAGAGCTGTGGAACACATGCCCCAGCAGGGCAGACACAGGTGGCGAGGCCCAAGGGGCAGAGAGGTCAAGGAACCAGGAAGCAGAAGGTGAAGAGACAAAGAACACAGGAAGCAGAGCTGTCTCAATCTCCAAGGATGTAAAAGAGAGATGTGAATGGAGAGGATGGGGACCTCCTACCACCAAGAAAGCAGAGCTGGGAGTGGAGCGCATCCTTTGGACCAGGGTCCCTGCGTTGAGATGCTCCTAGACCAGGGGAAGATAGATGACAAGGACCTTTCACCAGAACCAACAGAGAGAGAAAGCCTTCCGTGGGTGCTGGTGCTTTGAGTTTGGACTTCTAGCCTCCTAAACTGTGAGAGAATAAACTAACATTTGTTAAAGCCATTCTCTTGTCATATTTCTGTTACAGCAGTACTAGATAACTAAGACACCATCTGCTGTGTTTTGTAGTGGTATGAGGAAAAAATGGAATATGAGTAAGAGTAGTTCTGGTATAATACTTCTGGCATGTTTGAAGTCATGAGGGAAGGAAGGGCTACATAATTAGTACGAATCTTATTTTATGATTCTCTTTTTATTGTCATTGTATCAACTGAATTGATTCCAATATAACAGCCTCATTCTTGAGGTAATATTAAAACCTGAAATATGTGACTGCTTAAAGGCAGAGGAAAGAATGAATTCATATGTTTACTGAAATGTTGAATTTTTTTAAATTCATAGCTTTAGCATTTCCAGGTCATGTGGCTGCCTTTAAGGGTGATTTGGAAATACTGAAGAAATTAATAGAAGATGGAGTAATCAATATTAATGAACGTGACAATAATGGATCTACTCCTATGCATAAAGGTGAGTTATTATGATTCCTTTTTCGTTTTCAGTTCTGACACTATTGTTGCTGACTTATTTACCTTTTAAAGCAACTATCCATCAGAAACATATGAAAATGGAAATTTTTTTTTGATGCCTTAGGGGATATAAGTCTGTTATATTGTATACAGAGTGCTAAATTTTTGATTCAAGTATGCTGTTCCTTTTATGATGCCAGATATTCACACATTATCAAATCTGAGGGTAATTCTAATGGAAATTATACTGTGACAGTGTTACGTTAGTTAAGATGTGAAATTTACTGCTAAAGAAGTTTCTTAGGACTAACATTTTCTTTGGACTAAAAATGACCTATTAATTCATGCTAAAATAGAAATCATATCTCCTGAAAAAAAAGGTAAGCAGGATTTTCTTTTTTTAGGCCTCTTACTCTGTAAAAATGTTTCTACTTCCAAGAAATTTCAGTGAACGTTAGATTTCAACAAATTTTCAAGCTGTTTGCCTCTCTGCACTTACCTTCCTTCCATGTGGAATTCTATAATGATCAGTTTATTGTTTTTTAACTTGACTTTGTCAGATCATTGACTCAGTGTTGGGAGTATGTACTCTAAGAATTAATCTTGCCAGTTTTCCTTTTATTTATAAAACCAAACCAAATCTTTAACCTAGTGCATATGAAATTCACATTATGATTCATTTGTGATATTATGTTAAAGGTCTCTTCATGATCTGATGGCAGGTAATTCTTCTAAAACTCTTACTCAGAGGAAAATACAGTGGGTTTATTAATATAATTACATATTCGAATTGGACTCTTTCATAAATAACTTCTGGAAGTCCTGAAATCACAGATTATGTTCCTGTTGGTGAGGGTCTTGGTTTAATCATTAAACTTTTTGTAATCCCTAATGTATCTGAAGTATAGAATCTAAGCACCATGCATACCAATAGTTTTATAAAGCAGAGAGGGTGGGCAGAGTGGAAAGAAGGGGAATGTGAAGGGGATTTTCTCCTATACATAGGTAGGTTCCCAGATTGATGATTCTGCCTAGATTCGGAGATCTCGCTGCATCTTTGTTGCTCACTGTTCAGGGGTTAAGCTCTCTGCTGTGGAATTTGTGAATGGGGAAGAGACTAAAAATAAGCATAAAACTAAAAATAAGCATAAAACTTTGTTTTTTAAAAAATGTGGTGCCCTAGAGCAAGGCCCCTGTTGCACATATTAGATAAAACTGTTATTTTTGCTAGTATATGTGTGTGTGTGGGGTGGGTATTATTTAGATACAGTAGCAGAAGATAGGCTTACTCATGGTGCTAATCACAGTGAATCTTTGGGGGAATGGTAAGGTAAGTTTCACGGATGACTGGTTTTTTCTTTACCACTTGAACTGAGATGGAAATGAGGAATCTGGAAAAAGATTGTAAAGAGACTGATATACAATAACAGGGTGTTTGGGGTGCACCCATTGTTAGTGGGTGGGAGGCAGTGCAAGTGAGGAGGAACCAAAGTTTTGCCCTTCACCCTTCTCTTGTAAGTTTGTCCATCCAGGACTCATGGGGCCAGGGATGGATCACATGGTGTGGTGGAGGGGTGGTTAGTGACTGCAGCGAGGGAAAGGGATATTTGTGTGGGCATTAGCCTTTTCTAGGGGACCATCTGTATGTTTCGATCATACCCAATTGGGCAAATTAGAGTCGATGTATCCTTATAGTGTAATTCATGTTTCCCACATTTTGTCAGTTTGCTTCTTTTCCTTTTTATTATTATGTGTTATTTATTTTCATTTTGATTTAGTAGACAAACTGCAGTATCTATTAATAAGGCAGTCTTCCTAGTCACTTAATACTTGTTTAAAGCCAGTATGACTTCCCCTTTCTTTCACTTGCTCTTTATAATTATTAAGCTGTGTTAAACATTTCTAACCACTGTATAAAATTTTATATTGTTCTCTTATAAAACATTGATCAAATTAATCAACATAGCCTTATCAATCTACAATAAAAATCTTGAGTAAACATCATTTTACTGTATTTCATTGTGCAGTCACGTACTGCATAACATCCATTCAGGCAATGTCCAACCACATATACATCTGTGGTCCCATAAGGTTATAATAGAGTTCAGAAATCCCAACTGGAGAATGGGACATAGACATAACTGGACTTAGCAAACGCAAGAGCTTCTCGCATGCAACACACGTGTCTCATGTCTCTTGTATACAAAGCGATTGCGCTGTCAGGTGTATAATGGTACAGTACATGCATAACCTATACTACGTATGTCTTGATAGTCATAATAAATGTGTTACTGGCTTATGTTTATACTGTACTGTACTTTCTATTGTTATTTTAATGTGAACTTTCCCTACTCACAAATAAAAAGTTTACCATATAACAGTGTATGCTTTGACTTATAGGCAGCAGCATCCAGTCTCAGGTATTGCATGTCTTTTGAGTGTTGTAGCATTATCTGTTTAATTTTTTTCGAAAATATTACCGTGAAGTGCGTCATGGCTCCCAAATGCAGCAAAACCAGTGCTAGTGATAGCAGCAGCAAGAGGCAAAGGAGAAGTATTGATTTGGAAATGAAACAAAAGGTTATTAAACAATGCGAAGGTGGAAAATCAGCGAATGCTGTTGCTTGTAATTTAGGCATGTTCGCACGGCATCCAAATCAGATAATGTCCTGTTTCACAGAAGTATCGTGAACATTAAGTGGTGCATGACTGTAGATAAATTACTTAGCACCCTTTCTCCCCCCTTTTTAAAACATTACCTGTGTGATAAAATGTAAATGTTAGGCTAAACTCATTCCAGCTTATATAACTCACTGTTATGATTGATTCATAAATAGGACTTTGTAACTCTTTAAAGAGAAAAGACAGAATATGTTGCTATTTTTGTTCAAAGGGGGATTATTTCCAGAAGTCTCGGAATTCCTATAGTATTCTTTGTTAGTTAGTTTTGGATTGCCTGAAGGGAAGAGAGAAGCCCCAGACTCTTTAGGAGACAAATCTGAGTTTGGCAAATGGCTCCAAGTCAGGCAGAGAAGGGCAAGATGGTTCTTATAGACCTTTTGACAGCTGGGCTGTAGGGCTGTAGTGATAGGATTGCTTCATCGCTGGATCCAGCTCTCTGTCCTGTTCTCTCTGTTGCCAGTATTGGAGGTAGGTTTACTTTTTAAGTGACAAATTCGTACCAACAGTTTCCACTCTTTAATTGATTTTGCAGAGGCAGGTATATATTTAGCATTAACCATGTGCCTGCACTGTGGAGACTTACGAGATTCAGACTGAGCTACATATTTATACCATGAAAGAACTAGAGATCATTGTAAAACAGAATATAATTAATGGCAAGCAATATTTGGTTGTTAAAATACATGCAATAAGAATTCAGGAATAAGAATAGTGGAATGGAAGAAGTTTCTAAGGTCAAAATATTGAGAAACATTCATAGGGATTTAATAATAATACCTTATGTTTGTATGACCCTTTAACAGAGTGCAACTCTTACTTAATCCCGATTGCAATTTTATGAAGCAGCAGTGTGTTTTTCTTGTAAATATGGAATCATTTCTGTAAAAGATGAGAAAATTGAGGTCTAGAGAGATCAGATGACTTGCCCAAGGCTATGCAGCCAGTAATCCTAGATAATTATAGCAGAGCTGAGATTTCATTTATTTTTTTATTCTTCCGTTAACCCATTAACTCTGTAGACGTTTATTGAGGGTCTGTCTGTGCCCAGCCACTTGTTAAATTCTGGGGATATGAAGATCACAGTTCTGTCCTCAAGTCTCATTGGTTAGTAGACTTCAACTCAGGTGTTTTAAATCTTTTAAGTTTTATTCCCCCGCTGCTTCCCTGAGTCATGAGATGAATCTGGAAGAATGGGTAGATGTTAGATGCCTATATAGTTCAGTCATTGGTATTAGATGGGAAGACACATAATCTGAGTTGTGGAGGTGAAAATTAATAGTGAGTACATGTACAGTATTTTGAGGACAAGATTTAGAAAAGTGGTAAACAGTTTAGATAATGAAGTATGATTTGAGGGACATGTAAATTTTTGAGTTGTGATAGAAGAGTATATAAGATGGAGCAAGATTTTCAAAGTCTACGTAGGTCCCTATGGTTGAGATGTGCTCACATCCTGGTCTTATACAAGTTTGGTCAGGGGCTGTATGTATAGCAGCAGGTGAGAAAAGTGTAAATTCTAGTTTTAAGTCCCTTACTTACTAGCTGCGAGATGTTAACCTCTTTGAGCTTCAACTTTTCTGTTTGTATGTAAAGTCCAAGGTATAGGGCCTGCGCACAGTAGATATTTGATAAATGTTTGTCTAATGAATGAATAAATGAAATAGAGAAAATAACATTTTCCCAGCCTACTTTTGTTAGTTATTGTAAGGATCAAAAAAGACATTGTATGAAAGTACAGGCAGTCCTCGGGTTATGAACGTCTGATTTATGTGACAATTCGTACTTGCCCTTTAATGTTATATAAATTTGCCCTCACTTTGAAATTTTTGAACTAACCCCTACTGGCAACAGATTCTTCATCATAATCACCTTCACTTGCTGCACGTGCAGCTTTTAAATCATGAGTACAAGAAAGGCTCGAGGCCTTTTCAGAGTAAGATGAAATAAGAACTGTATGCACCTGTTCCAACTTCCTACAAATTCTTAAAGACAGAGTTAGGAACCTATCTCTCGTTACCAGCGACTGCCTGTACTTTGTAAATGGTACTGTCCAAAATTTTAGGAAGTTTAGTAGTCGTAACTCTTTTTTTCTTTGTATTTCCTGTTTTTTTTCAGCTGCTGGACAAGGACATATAGAGTGTTTGCAGTGGTTAATTAAAATGGGAGCAGACAGTAATATTACCGACAAAGTGGGAGAGAAACCCAGTGATGTGGCTAAGAGGTATAGGTCCCTATCTGCTTTGTTCCTCTATTTTGTTTTTAAAGTTTTGTATGTTTTCTTGTACTCAGAAATCTCTGAGAATTTACATCTACAAATTGCTGATGGAATGAAGATTTTCAAGCTGAATTGCCATTTACCAGTATATCAGCTCTTCTCTCTAAAGCAGTGATTCTCGATTGGGAAATAGTATTGCCCCCTTCTCTATGAGGGTGGTGAGGTACATTTAGAAAAGTGTGTATTGGGCTGTGTCTTAGTCATCTAGTGCTGCTCTAACAGAAATACCACAAGTGGATGGATTTAGCAAAGAGAAGTTTATTCTCTCACAGTCCACTAGGCTACAAGTCCAAATTCAGGGTGTCAGCTCCAGGGGAACGCTTTTTCCATCGGCTCTGGAGGAAGGTCCTTGTCATCAATCCTCCTTTGGTCTGGGAGCTTCTCTGCACAGGAACCTCAGGTCCAAAGGACATGACTCTGCTCCAGGCACTGCTTTCTTGGTGGTTTGAGGTTCCCAAGTGTCTCTGCTCGCTTATCTCTTTTATATCTCAAAAGAGATTGGATTAAGACACTATCTAATCTTGTAAACCTCATCAGCATAACCTCATCACAGTGATAGAATTTACAACACATAAGGAGATCACGTATAACCTCATCACAGTGATAGAGTTTGCAACACGTAAGGAAATCACATCAGATTACACAATCATACAATACTGGGAATCATGACCTAGCCAAGTTGCTATACACATTTTTTGGGGGACACAATTCAATCCATGACAGGCTGTTACAATGACTGGATACCATCACAAACATTTAGTGAGGTCGGGTCCAGGAATGCTGAACGTTCTGCAGTGCTTAGAATAGTGCTGCACAGTGAAGAATTGTCCCACCCAAATACCTGTAGCATCCCTGTTGAGAAACATTGTGTGAAGAAAAGGAGTAATCAACGTGGATTTAAAAAAAAAAAAGTCATAAGGGTTTTGAAACATATTTTGTTATTTGCATTTGAATTAAATTTAATACCTATTATTGAATACTATCAGCTTATTCAAGTCAGGTGCTCAGGGAATATGTAGTCCATCCATTTATTCATTTTTTTGTTAGGGTTACAAAGATGCGAAAGCATAGTTCCTGCGCTCAAGGAGCTTACAATCTTGTGGAGAGACAAATATGTAAACAGAATTTTTATACCATGTTACATAGTAGGTATAATGTACAACCAGAACATAGGATAAGCCTAAGCCTTCCTATTTGAAAGTTAGGGGGAGAATAATTATTATAGATGATAGTAAGGGTTATGAAGAAAAACTACAGGAGGACAGAATTTAGATAAAGGTCAGGGAAGACTATTTTTGTGGAAGCAGTATTTATGCTGACACTTGAAGAAGAAGGGGATGTAAGATAACACCTTGTGTGTTTGAGGAACTACATGTGATTCGGAACTGCTTGAGTCTACATTAAGAGTGTGGGCTAAAAGTGGCAGGTGAAGCTTGATGGGATGTAGGAGCCAGATCATTAAAGTGCAGTGCAATTTTTGTGAGCTCCGGTTCCTTAAAATTTGTCTGTGGGATTTCTTTGAAGACTTGGGGTGTGGTTTTCCTGTATCAAGTATCTGAAATCTTGTCAACTCAGGACCACTTTATTTTTATCTTTTTACACAGCTTTATTGAGATGTAATTGACAAACAATAAACTGCCCATATTTGTACAGTACAAATTGATGAGTTTTGACATATGTATACACCTGTGAAAACCATCACCACAATCAGGGTAGTGAACATATTCATTACTCCCAAAGTCTCCTTGTGCACCTTTGTAATCTCTCTCCCTCTTTTCCCTCCCCGCTTGCCCCTCTCCAAGCAACCACTGATCTGCTTTCTGTCACTATAGCTTAGTTTAAATTTTCTAGAGTTTTAGATAAATGGAATTATAGAGGATGATATCTTCCACTCAGCATAATTATTTTGAGATTCATCCATGTATTAATTGATTCCTTTTTATTGCTGGATAGTATTCCATTGTATGGATATGCCACAGTTTGATTTATACTCACCTGTTGAAGGATATCTTGATTGTTTCCATTTTGTTGGTAATTATGAATAAAGCTGTCAATATTCTGGTACAGGTTTTTGTGCAAACAAGTTTTCAGTTCACTTGGGTAAATACCTAGGAGTGGGATTGCTGGGTCACATGCTAAGTGTATGATTAACTTTATATGAAACTGCCAAACTGCCTTCTATAGTGGCTGTACCATTTTGTATTCCCTCCAGCAATGAATGAGAGTTTCTTTTGCTCCATATCCTCATCAGCATTTGGTAGTGTTAGTTTTTAAAATGTTAGTGATTCAGATAAGTGTGTACTGGTATCTCATTGTGGTTTTTATTTGCATTTTTCTAATGGAAAGTAATTTTAAGCATGTTTTCATATAGTTATATGCCACGTATATGTTTTTTTCAGTGAAGTGACAGTTCAGATCTTTTGCCTATCTAAAAAAAAATTATTTACTTTCTTATTATTGAGTTTTAAGAGCTCTTTATATGGTCTGGATGCTAGTTTTTTCTTAGATAGATGCTTTGCAAAGATTTTCTCCCAGTTGTGGGTTTTTTTTTTTTTTTTAAATTTTGTCTTTGAAGAATAAAAGCTTTACAATTGTTGATAATTTATAAAGTCCAGTTTATCAATTTGTTCTTTTATGGATTATGCTTTTGGTACCATATCTAAGAAATTTGACTAACACAAGGTCACAAAGATTTTCTCCTATATTTTCTTTTTGAAGTTGTATAGTTTTAAGTCTTATATTTAGGTCTATAATCCATGTGAGTTAATTTTTGTATGAGGTATAGAGCCAAGTTCTTTTTTTTTTTCTTTTTCCATATGGCTATCCAATTGTTCTAGGACCATTTGTTGAAAAAATTATCCTTTCTCCACGAAACTGTCTTTGCACCTTTGTCAAAAATCAGTTGTCCGTTTATGTATGGACTTATTTCTGGACTCTGTATTTTTGTCTATTGATCTATTTGTTTATCCTTACAGCAATGTCACATGGGTGATTTAGTACCATGGGTGTATATCTATAATTATCTATAATTCTGTATTGAAATAATAATCTAAATAATTCTATATTTCTTTCTCATTCCTACACCAAAATGCTAGGTATGAGTGTAGTATTGTTAAAGAGATATCCTTAAATCTGGCATAAAGCAAGTACTCAGGAAATCATAACTTATATTATAACCTAGTAGTAGAGATAGTGAATGCTATTAGCCTTACAACTTCCTATGTATGTTTATTACAATGTCTTTCATGATCTGCTGTAGCTGGTGAAAGGTAAGGATGTATGTGTGTATATGAGTGTAGTTATGTATGTATGTGAAAGAAGTAGGATTTAAGGTTTTCATATTTAGCGAGTAATTCTCCATGTCTTAAGAGAAAGTATTAAACATTTCTATTAGCAATACTGTGGGGAAAATTTGCAAATTAACATGCAGTCACAACAACTTCAAAACCAAGAGTATATTACTGGAAGCTTTGTAAATATGGGAAAGAGCAAAGACAGGATAGAAAATATGGATGGAAAGGTCATAATTTTCCATTAAGTTTCAAAACCTTGCTAAGTTCTTTGGGTTGAAGAAGGATGAAGCTATAGTTAGCCCTAAAACTGGAACCGGAGGTAGCTCTGTAATCTAAATTATGTCAACAAAAAGTAAGAAATACAGGTAACCAAGTAGCAGTTCTGGGTTTTCTGTTCAGTTGAGCGACTCTGTTTGGGGGTGAATCTATATTAAATATTCTTCTGGTATTAGGTCTCCTGTTTTAGTTGGATTTTTGCCAATGAAAATTATGGGATCAGTTTTTAATATGATTACTTGTCATTAATGTCCAGTAACTGCTTGAGCTTCCCATATAGCTGTATATATATCAAATTATCTCTGACTTTCAGATAGTTTTGCTCCTTGCCTGGTGGGTGGGTTGGTAGCATAGTGGTGTTCTTGTTCTATGCTGTTGAGGCAATTCTGACTTATCTGACCCTACAGGACGCAGTAGAACTGCCCAATAGAGTTTCTAAGGCTGTAATCTTTACAGAAACAAATTGCTACTTCTTTCTCCCATGGACTAGCTGGTGGGTTCGAACCACTGACCTTTTGGTTAGCAGCCGAGCACTTAAACACTTGCCAGCAGTGTGTAATGTACAGAGTGTAATTCCCTAAGTAAAGTGCAAACTGTAGTTTCAATTAGAAGATGATAGTGGATTGCATTAATTATTGGTTCTTTTCTACAGGTTTGCCCATTTGGCAGCAGTAAAGCTACTAGAGGGACTACAGAAATACGATATAGATGATGAGAGTGACATCGATGAAAATAATATGAAGTTTTTTATAAGACATGGTGTTGAGGGAAGCACTGATGCCGAGGATGATTTATGTCAGAGTGAGTCAGATAAAGCAGATGCCCGAAGTAAGTGTGCCTCTTCTGTTGTGATTTATCCTTTAAGAGATAACATGGCCAGTTGTTACTAAAAACTTGGAAACTATTCTAATGAAAATTACATCTACAAAGTAAAATATTTTGATATTTTTTGGGAAACTACCTGCGTTAGGCTGGGTTCTCCATAGAAGCAAAACCTGTAAAGTGTATAAATATATATATAGAGAGATTTATATCAAGGAAATGGTTCATGTGGTTGTAGAGGCTGAAACATTCCAAGTCTGTAGGTCAGGATAGAGGCTTCTCGTGATTCATGTAGCCACAGGGGCAGATGAACCCAAGATCGGCAGGCCAGACAGCAGGGCTCTTGCTCACAGCCTGCAAAGATCAATGAATCCCAAGATTGGCAAGCAAGACGGCAGGTAAGCTGCTAGCTCAGGTCTCAAAAACTGGAGGTCAGATGAACAGGAGCCAGCTGCTGGATCCAGAGTGAGCAAAAGCCCATGAGTCTTGCCAGAAAGTCCACTTATATATTCGATGAAGGCTGTACCCCCAAGGAAACTCCCTTTCAACTGATTGGCTACTCCTAGCAGATCCCATCATGGAGGTGATCACATTATATCAAAGCTCATCATGGAAGTGATCACATCATCGTATGACTGCCAAGCTACATCATAACTGCCAAACCACTGAGAATCATGACCCAGCCAAGTTGACACATAACCTTAACAATCACACTACCATATAAAAATTGTTTGTACCAGGGGCTGTTGAACATATAAAGAATTGTAAGACATGGTCTCTGTTTCTCAAGGGGGGAATGTTAAATAAGAGAAAAAAAAATTAAGCGAATCATAGGAAGCAGGGAAAGAGACATCTTAAGGATATCCTTGGTTTAGCTGGAAAATGATTTTTATGGATAATAATAGCAACAAATATTTATTGATTGCCTACTATGTGCCAGACACTGTTGTAGAAACAGTGAGCAATACTAAATCCCTGCCCTGCTCTCAAGGAACATACATTCCAGTGGTGGTGGTGGTCAGGGAGAAGGTGACAAGTAATTAATAAGAAAATAGACATGTATCCCAAAGAGTCCACAAGAAAACTTCTAGAGCTAATAGAGGAATTTAGCAAAGTTTCAGGGTACAAGGTCAACAAACAGAAATCAGTTGGACTTCTATACACAAGCAATGAGAAATCTGAAAGGGAAATTAGGGAAACACTTCCATCTATAACAGTACCTAAGAGAATAAAATACCTAGGTCTAACCAGAGATGGGAAGGATTTATACAATGAAAACTAAAACACTGCTGAAAGAGATTAAAGAAGACTTAAATAAATGGAAAGATGTTCCATGTTCAGACTTAATATTGTTAAGATGTACATACTATCCAAAGTGATCTATAGATTCAGTGCAATCCCGATCAAGATTCCAATAGCCTTCTTTACAGAAATAGAAAAAACAATCCTCGTCTTTATAAGAAATGGCAAGAGGCCCTGAATAGCTAAAACAGTGTTGAAAGAGAAGAACAAAGTAGGGGGGCTCACACTTCATGATTTTAGAACATGCTATACAGCTACAGTAGTCAAAACAGCCTGGTACTGGTATAACAGTAGACATATAGAATGGAATAGAATTGAGAGTCCATAAATAAACCCATACATCTGTGGTGAACTGATTTTTGACAAGGGTGCCAAATCCATTTGATGGGGAAAGAAGAGTCTTCAATAATGGTGCTGGGAAAATTGTGTTTCCACATGCAGAAAAATGAAACAGGATCCATGCCTCACAGTATACACAAAAACAAATCAAAATGGATTAAGGACCTAAATGTGCAAACTAAAACCATAAAATTCTTAGAAGAACAAGCAGGGGCAATGGTGTCAGGCCAAGCTTTTAACAATGGATTATCTAATTTAATAACAAAAGCACAGATAGCAAAAGACAAAATGAATAAATGTGACCTCATAAAAATTAAAACTTTTGTTCATCAAAAGACTTTACCAAAAATGTGAAAATATCTAATAACCAAAATATATACAAAACTTAGACAACAACAAAAAGATAAATAACCCAGTCATAATATGGGCAAAGTATTTGAATGACATTTCATGAAAGAGGGCATTCAGATGGCCACCGAAGACATGAAAAGATGCTCAGTGTCATTAGCCATCAAATTAGAGAGCTGCAAATCAAAACCACAATGAGATACCATTTCACTACCACTAGGTTGGCTAAGATAAAAAAAACAAACAGAAAATAACAGATGTTGACAAGGATATGGGGAAACTGGAGCCCTTGTCCATTGCTGGTCAGAATGTAAATGTTACAGCCATTGTGGAAAACAGTTTGGTGGTTCCTCAAAAAACTAAAAATAAAACTACCATATGACCCAGCAATTTCACTCCTAGGTATATCAGAGACTCAGAAAGAGACTTACACACCAACGTTTACTGCAGCACTATTCACAATACCCGGAAAGTGGAAGCAACCTAAAAGCCCATGAACAGATGAATGGATAAACAAAATGTGGTACACACATGCAATGGACTATTACTCAGCCAGTAGGAGAAATGAAGTCTAGATACATGCTACAGTATGGATGGAGCTTGAAGACATTATGCTGAGCAAAATAAGCCAGTCACAAAAGGATAAATATTGTATGACCTCAGTTATATTAAAAGACAAGAAAAGGCAAATATGTAGAGACCAATGTTTATTAGTGGTTACCAGGGGTGGTAGGGAGGGGGAAAAGGGGGATTAGCAGTGATGGAAAAATTGCATTGATGAAGGGTAAGATTGCGCAGCTAATTATTGTAATTGCTGTCAGTAAGTTGTACATCTGTAAAAAGTTGAATTGGTAAAAATCACGTGATAGATATATTTACAACAACGATAAAAAAAAAAAGAGCTGCTGAGGTTGCTTATGTACAACCAAACACCTCGTGGGATTTCGTTCCTTGGTTTGGAGGTTTAGGGTCATAATTTCATGGGACATTCCAGTTAACTGGCCTAAAAATGTGTTTAGTACCTCTGTTCTATTTCCTAGTTCATTGTGCAATTCCTTGGATCTTAAAAGCTTGCAGGTGGCCATCTAAGGTACAACAATTGGTCTCTATTCACTTGGAGCAACAGAGGCAGAAGGAAAGTCAGGAATATGAGGAGGATATGGAATGTGTGGCTAATTGCCTCCATGAACAACTGCCTCCTTGGCCATGAGACCAAAAGAACTGGATGGTGCCCAGCTACCATTACTGAACATTTTGATCAAAGATTCTGTAGAAGAATTCTGATCAAAAGGGGGAAAATGTAGAACAGAATTGAAAATTTTCATGGAATCTAGGTTTTCTGGAGCCATGGAAGTGGGATGAAGCCCTGAAACTATTTCCCTGAGTTAATCTTTAAAGCTTAAATCAAAAATATCCCCTGAAGTCTTCTTAAAACCAAACAGTAGCTTAACTAGTGAAAAAGGTCTGCCTTGAGCATTGTGCTCTTTTAAGATCTGTCTTTATGGGATCAAATTGACAACAGCAATTTGAAAGATTAGATAGGAAACTTAGGGGGCAGTGAGTTTATGTTAAGAGGGGTGGGACAGTTTAGAGAAGGAGGGTGAGGATAGTTGCACAGCTTGAGGAATGTAATCAATGTCACTGAATTGTACATGTAGAAATTGTTGAATTAGTGTATATTCTGTTGTATATTTTCAACAGTAACAACAAAAATAAAATAAATTATAAAACAAAAACACAATATTATTCTAGCTGCTGGGTGGAGAATGGACTAGGAATGGGATAGGGAAAAGTATAGCATTTCAGGTGGGTTATGAAAGGGTGGGAAGAGAATATACTTACCTACCAACATAAGGTTAGATGAAGTTCCTGGTATAATTTAAATTTGTCAAAGATACTGAATTAGAATTGTAGAAGAACAGGTGTGAAATGTCTCTGCACAGATTCCTGGGCCACTAGGCTTGGACTAGGGTAGAGATGATGGAGGTGGTGAGAAATAGTTAGATTTAGGACATATTTAGAAGGTAGAGGTGATAAGGTTTGCTGATAGATTTGAATATGAGTGTTGGAGAATGAAAACAATTAAGGATGATTCCTAGATTCTTGGCCTGTGAAAGTAAGTGAATGGTTAAAAAAAAAATGGTAGTGCCTTAAAGGGACTATTCACTCAGGATGGAATAGTAGGAAAGGCTTTTCATAAGTGGAGTGTGGCTTTTGCCTTGAAGGGTAGCCAGAATTTAGACAGGCAAACGGAGAAGGAGGGCATTCCATTCATCAAACACATATTTGAGTATAAAGTATGTGCAAAGTCTTAGGCTAAGAGCCACAGCAGTGTATCAGAAACAGTTCTACTTTCTGGAATTTGGAAAACATTTTGTATCTACCCAGTATGATACTAGAAGAAGTTACTGAAATTGTGTTTTATCAGTTCTTCTCTCTCTCTGTGTATTTAAAGTGAATTTATTGAGTACCTGTTATGTGTCAGACACTGTTCTAGGTGCTAAGATTACGTTGTTGAACTAAGAGACAAATCATTTCTCTGTATTTGCTTGTTTCCTAAACAGGCATATCTTTTTATTTTTTAAAGCTATGACATATTGATTGTCTACTTTTATTTAATAATATCTACCCTATTTGTTAGTGTATTTCCTAAAATAATTTTTTGGTTTTGTACATTTTATTTTTCTTCTTTCATACTAATAGTGTTATGGAGACATATATGCCAGTGATTTAATTTTTATCATAATCAACTGAGGACAAACTTATTTCATCAAATGGTTAAAGTAGTCCTAATTAGTCTGTGAGTAAAAGTAGGAGTACTTCTTTCCTCTCAAAGGAACACCTGATTAAATGGATGCAGGACAGTGGCAAATCTCAGTGTTATATTTATTATTAAACTAAATTGAAGGCTACCTATTGGAGTAACTTTTAATCTTCATTGTATTTCTGCTAGTGGTTCAGTTACTGGTATATAACTCTCCTGCCAGAGTTTTTTATTTTCCAAAATCCTAATAATG